TTAATTATAGCATGAACAAGATAAATTGAAGGTAATTAGTAATTTTGGCATCGCTTCTATGGTGTTACTTATGATTTATATTCCACTGTGTCAAATTTATTTTACATCTGTTTGATTTTATACTTTAATTTTATTATTTAATAGCATGAAGAAGATATTAAGGAACTTAAATTGAAGGTAATCTCACAAGTAATTGCTACAATATTGTACAATATATGTATGCTATTAGACTGCAGAGATTAGGCAGGCATTAATTAATTGCTTCCATGGTGAAAAAAATAATATAGTTGGGAATTTATATTCCACGGTAATTGTGTATTTGACTTATTTGTTTGTCTAATTTGTACATTTCTGAATTAATTATAGCATGAACAAGATAAATTGAAGGTAATTAGTAATTTTGGTATTGCTAATTCTATGGTGACAATATGTTTGTGAGTTACAGCTAGCATTCTACTGTACTGAATCTATTTTACATCTGTTTGACTTTATATTTTAATTAATAGCATGAAGAAGATTCTAAAGAACTTAAATTGAAGGTAATTGCTACAATTAATATGACTAATTAATATGGTACGATATATGTATGCTATTAGGCGGCAGATATTAGGCAGCCATTGAGCGACGCTACCTTCACAGTCTAAGAGGCTAGCTCTAAATTCAAATGTTAAAATATGTGCTTTAAGGTGGCTCCCTAGGGTTTTATCCCCGGGGGTTACGTTCTTCCTATATATGGCGGGAAATTTAAAATAGCCGTGTGGTCCTCGCGAGATTTAAAAACCAAAATATAAACATGGCGTCTTTTGCAAGAAAATGTTTTTCGCCAAACAAATACGTCAATTTTTTTACAAAACAAAATGTTAAAATGCTATTTAAAACGCCAACAATTTTCGTGGCCGAAATAAAAGAAAAGAGAAGTAATAATTTTTGGAATAACTATAGTTTCCTCGATGTTTTCGGCCGCCGTACCGAGTCACATCGCGGCAATTGGTGGTGCAAGTTTCCGCACGTATTTTCGGTGTTTGGAGCCCTATATATTTGTACTTCTGACCACGCTGAATGTATGGAAAACGAAGAGTCAATGTCTAAAACCAGTATTGCAGAGTCTCCTGAAACAAACCGTCATAATAAACGGACTTCAACCGGGCGCTTTGTGAAATTAATACGCAAAGGTGGGCACAAGGAAAAAAGTTTACATCCTATGAACGCTGCTTTAGCTGTGAAAAGAAGGCTTGTTTTTGACGAATGTGACGAAAATGAACCCCCTTCAAAACGAAAAACAAGGAGTGAAAAGGTACAGTACAAAGTAATATATTTCATTTGTTTATATTCCTTGACTAGTATCAAGTGTAAACGAGCAATATGTCAATACTACCATTTATTTCAATATACTTACACATTCTTAGGATGCTGTTTCTGAAGAAAAAGCAGTTGTGCATGGAAGCAGAATTATAGATCTTGGACACTTCAATAAATATTTTGAAAATTGCAGCAATTGCCACTCAGGTAAATTTATTACCAATTTACTATTAAGACTTAGGGTACAGTGAACACACAAAGATAAAGTTTTGCTGCAAAAATAAAATATTACATATTTTAAAAGACTATTTTAATCACTGAGTAAGTGTGGAAAATAAAACCTCACATGCTCATGTAATGTAGACTTTTCTACATATTTAACTAGAGACATTGTCAGATTTTTTGGTTAACCCATTAAGCTGCAGAGCATCCCCATTGATGAGTGAAATTGTCTGGCATTAGGCCATGGGAATGAAAGTCATAGATTTGCGTCCACCGCCCGCATGCCTCAAAAGCTACCGCCTAAAATTTTCATTATTTACAAAAAAATTCATTATTTTCACAAATAAAGCAAAACTCAATATTAGCAATAAAATTGTGTATTGATTACAATAAAATGAACATATTGCAGTGTGTTTGTCCTCAGTATCCACATTCTATGAAATTCCAAATTATATTCACCGAAATTGGCACACAGATCTTCAGTACTGCAACTGCGTGAGCTCGAGATATATGTAATTCCGTGGCGTAAACGGTAATTCGTGTTTTGATTTACCACCCAAAAGGATGGTAAAAAAATAATGAATAATGAATAATGAAAAAAACCCGCATGTTTTTTCAAAATTATCCGGACGCAAATCTATGACTTTCATTCCTATGGCCTTAGACAAGTAAAAAAATAAGTAGGGCGCACTGCGGCTCAATGGGCTAACAGAATAAACCATGCCCTAGCTGATAAATTATTAGCTATAGTACTGTATATATATAACCTATATTCAAATCATTTAGGTCCCTTGCCCTTCAGTGTTTGTGATGAACAGAGACATGGCCTAGCCAGTACGTTTTATATCAGCTGTCCCTTTTGTGGTCATTTGAACAAGGCTGAAACTTCAAAACAACACAGTTCCGGTAATCGAGGTCCAAAGGCCTTTGACATTAACACACAAGTAACTCTTGGTTGCCTCCATGCTGGTATTGGGCAAAGTCATATGAACAATATTTTATCTTGCATGAACATACCTACAATAAATTCAAATACTTTTAAACATAGAGAAAGAGAAGTTGGGAAGGCTGTTGAAGCAATCGCTAAAAAAAGTTGTGAGGAAGCAACAAATTTAGTACGAACTGAGATTATGACCAATACAGCCGAATGCAATGAGGATAATTTAGTCTCTGTCCCTTGTTCATTTGATATGGGCTGGCAGAAGAGAGGAAAAGGCCACAATTCTTTGACTGGACAAGCCGCTGTTATGAGTTTGACAACAGGAGAAGTGTTAGACTACACAACAAGAGTAAAAGTCTGCCGTTTTTGTGATTATGCTAAAAGAAACAATGCCCCTGTAAAAGCTCACGACTGTCGCAAAAATCATACAGACTCCTCAAAGGCAATGGAACCTTCAGCTGCAGTAGAATTGTTTAATAATGGTCCTAAATATAACGTAAAATACTCAACATATACTGGAGACGATGACTCCACAACAGAAGCCCACATTCGCCAAAAAGTTGGATACAAGGTTGAAAAACTAAGCGACATCGTACATACGAAAAGATCATTAACTACACGCCTATATAACTTAAAACAAAATGTAAGATTTCCAAACAGTTCCACATTATCACAAAAGGTCATTAATTATTTGGTCAAATGCTTTTCCTATGCTATAGCTCAAAACAAAGGCAATCCAGAAGAAATAAAAAAAGCAATTGAATGCATTGTCCCTCATGCTTTTGGAGACCATACAAAGTGCAACATTAGTTGGTGTGGATACAAAAGCGACCTAATCAATTACAAACATAAAACTCTTCCACATGGTAAAGATCTGTTTGGTGAAAGCCTTAAGAAAGCACTTAATAATCTATTCAATGACTACTGTACTGAAACTGTGGTTAACAAAGTTGCACCGTGTTCAAATTCACAAAGGAATGAAACCCTTAACAGTGTAGTTGGATCAAAAAATCCAAAAATTAGGTTTTATGGTGGTAGTGACAGCAACGATTTCCGGGTTGCATGTGCTGTTGCCCAAAGAAACCAACGATATGCTTATGTTGACAGAACATTGGAGGCACTCAATATTGAACCCGGGACATTTTGCAAAAATTACAACAAAAGGATGACTACAAAAATAAATAAAGATAAAGACAGAAAATCGACCATACAATTTAAAAGACAACGTATACAAAAGCACTTGAGCAGCTCGGCCCAAACTGCCAGAAAAGAAGCAAAGGAGGGTACAACCTACCAAACTGGGGTTGGATTAAATCTAAACACTGACACAAACTTGACTAAGACGAATTTGGGAAAGGGCATACCAGAGCCAGAAATTCAAGTGAATGATGAAGCAATGTCGTCAGAACAATTTAAAGAAATTGAGAACATTGTGCCCCCTTATACCCCTAGACCAAAAGTAAAAAAAATCCAATTTGACGAGAATCATAACTACAACTTTTTGGTGTTTGACACAGAAACAAATTCAACTGGTAAGCTTGCCGAAATATGTCAATTATCAGTATGTGACATGTCTGGTTCACATATGTTTTCAGAATATGTAATGCCAACACATGACATCGATTTTTATGCTTCACGAGTAAATAATCTTGAAATAAGAACTATCGAAGGGGTACGAAAACTCTTTAAAAATGAAATATCATTACCTTCCATACCTTTTTGCGAAGCCCTAACCAAACTCGAGAGATATATATCACTGTCGATTGACCGAGCAAAAGCCACGTCAAACAAACCCATCGTTACTGTACTTATTGGACACAACGTCGCCACTTTCGATACACCAATACTTTTGCGAAACGCTGGGGAAAGTTTTGTACATAATTTACAGTTGATGGACGTTTGGTTTGCTGATTCCCTGACATTATTCAAAGAGCTCGTTAAATGTCAATGTCCACAGTTAATGAATGCAGACGGTACATTCCCAAAAGCAAATCAATCGTCTCTTTACGAGGCTTTGTTTGAAGAATCGTTCAATGCGCACGACTCCTTAGAAGACGTCCTTGCTCTTCGAAAAATGTTATTTTCATCCAAGCTTGAACTGTCAATAAGGACGATAGTCGATCATTCGCAACTTGTAACAACAAACCACGCTGTCGAGGACATGGAATATCTTGATCGTCGCTACCAAAATATGCAAACCTTCAACGAAATCATGTTTAATCCACGCACAAATAAAGGCTTTTTGACGAAGAATATAACTGAGAAAATTGCAGGTGCTGGTGTGACATACAAGGATCTGAACGAAGTTTATATTAAGTACGGCAAAGATGGATTAATTGCAATTCTGTCGAAACCGCCATCGAATTCATCGCTGTCCTCGCCTAGAGTAACACGTACTAGACGAATTTTAGCAGCATTTGTTGATCACTTCACCAAAAAAATCAAATCATAGGTATTTATAGTAAATCATCATTTTCTTCGAGCGTACAAGTCTTTCAAACCTCTCAACTTCAATGGCCATTCGTTTTATCGCCATATTCCAATTTCCAAACGATGTTTGCAAGTGGACACGCGTGTTCTCCTTCCCCCCAAAACACGCGTGACCTCTCGCGCGAAGCCATAAATTTAAAAAAAAAATATCAACGAAAACTCAAAAACACAACATTGAATTTCTTGTTGTTCCTTCGGTGAATTTTTTTAAAATTTCATACTGGTTAAGATGCTACTTCCGTTAACCTAAATACCAATTTTCACGAAATTAAATCGAAGGAATATTTTTTAATGTAATTTTTTTACTTTTTCGTTCATTGCTCGTAAACCTATCGATTTAATTTTTTTAAAATATGGCAAAAGAATAATTGAATCGCTACTATTTGATATGCAAATTTTCAAAAAAATTTACCGAAGCAAATCTTCAAAATGGCAAGGAAAAGGGGGAAAATGTACATCTTTGAAGATACTCTGTTACCATGGTAACAGAATTTTAGCGCAAAGTCGCGGTTTTAAAATCTTCGAAATAATATAATGCATGTTTGGTGAAAATTTCATGCTCGTATCGCGGAAGGTAATGGTTTGGCTGTCGATTTTATGCAGCAATGTGGTGCTAGTAAAAACCCTAGGGAGCCACCTTAAAAACTTTGAATTAAGAATTCTGCAGTTACATGTCAACTCTAAAACCGTGTGGAGGGAGTGGAGCTAATTAACTATCATTTAAACTTGTTGTAAATGGCTATTAACCCCCAATATAATCTGAAAATTGGGCTTATCGAATTAATTGAACCAAATCCAAAAGCTATTGCGGTAGGATCTGCCTGAGACGTACACCATTTGGAGCTTCATTTCAGGATCCATTCTCGTTTTCAGAAGCTAGATTTGGTTTGCTTGGTGGACCCTAGAATTCCCTAGATCCCAGCCAATTATTACCTCCTTTCACCTGCCACCTGCACAAAAATAAAATCTATACAAGCATTTACAGTAGTCCATTATAAATATACAGTAATCTTGATTATTTCTATTATATATATATATATATATATATATATATATATATATATATATATATATATATATATATATATATATATATATATATATATATATATATGTATATGTATATGTATATGTATATGTATATGTATATATATATATATATATATATAATAATAATATATAATAATATATAATAATATATATTTTTAATATATATATATATATATATATATATATATATATATATATATATATATATATATATATATATATATATATATATATATATATATATATATATATATATATATATATATATATATATATACATATTAATCGTGTATTATAATTATACATAATCGCCGGATATCTGCTCATGCCTATGGCCAAAAGTACTGTACAAATTGTACACATACAAAACATTTTACATGTTAAGTGTGACTTATTGAAATTGATATTCTCATCATAAAATTTAATGTTACAGTATGAAAATGAGTTAAAGGCTGTCAAGTCAAAGGTAATCATTTTACGTTTTATTCAAAAGTGAGAAAGTATATCTTTAATTATGTTTTTAAGCTTAGCATTTTTCACCACATTACGTATTGCCTGATTATTGGTCCGAAGCCATGTTTTAGATGAGGTATACAATCAGAGTGTATAAGTGCTCTAAGCATATACAGGGAATGGCAAATGATTTAATTTAATTGCTGTAGCACGATGAAGATGTGAAGCTTCTTGGGCAAAAAATCGACGTGTTACAGGCCATTGGAGCTGCGCATGCTCCACTGGCAACGCAGTTCCCGCAACGACCCTTACATCAACAAGAACCTGAACCAGATTGCGCTTGGAAGATAGCAAACTTTACAAGAAAGCTGGCTCAAGCAAAATCTGACAATGATTATGGTATAATTCAAAGTGAACCTTTTTTCTCAAGTCATGGTTACAAAATGAAACTTCAGGTAGATTTAAATGAAGCGCCATCTGGTTACGCAGGCTACATGGGTGTTTACTTAATATTGATGAAAAGCGATCTAGATGGAGCTTTTCCCTGGCCTTTCGCAAAGCGTTGCACATTTGTTCTTGTTGATCAACAAGATGATCTCAGGCAAAGACAAAACATTGGGCTCGTAATAGTTACAGAAGGAAGGAGCAATTTCCAAAGACCTAGAGAGCACAAAAATACCGGTGGGGGAGAACGTCAGTTTGTTAAGCATTCAACTCTACGTACTCGTCAATACATTAGAGACGACGCTGTATACATCAAGGTCCTGATAGATCCATGAAAAATAACCATAATTATTATACTTGGTGTGGAAGCATACCTACTGTAGTCAGTGCCGGATTAACCTTTTCATGGCCGGGGGCAAAATTATTTTAAGGACCGGTCACAAAATAAAATTCGTATTTGAAAATGTTTCAGTTTAATAGTTTTGTTATAAGTGACCGTATGCCGTATGGTTGGATATTCCAATATTACATTGCATATATTTGTTAGTGTACTCCATATCTATCGCGCATCTCTTTTAGTAAAATTGAAGCCAAGAACATTCCAGCGGTTACCCCCATTTGAATAGATGGCGACCGTGTTGGAGTTTCCCACTCGCTAATAAACGCTGAAAAAACAACAATAACTTTCATCATTTGAATAGTTAAAAAATGTATTTGGAATAGGTTTACCTTAATATTTAAGTTCCCTGTTTAAGAAATAGAAAACACACGAATCTTCTCATTTCATGGGAATATCCTGAGTCTGCAATCACGGCTTCAATTTTTGAATTGTAGAATAATTAGATGCACTATCTAGTTTATATAAGATATTATGGTGTACTCCAATATTACATTGCATATATTTGTTACTGTACACTGAGGTAAGTGAGGTTGCTTTAACCAACGAGCTTAAGGTAATTCCGCAGTAATTGTTCCCGAAATGAGAATGTGCTGAAACTTCCTAGGCATGGAGTTTATGACATATTTAAAGTAAAAACCCCAAAAATCCGGGGTCACCGAATTCGTTAAGAAGATATGACAATCACAATATACCACATTTACCCCAATGTGGCGCCATCTTGACGCTCATTACGAGTAACAGCAAAATCACAACAGCCCGATATTTACTGACGTTTTTAGCGCGGATTTTGCTTTAGTAAACTTATCTTGTAATTATTTTTGAAAAAATATTGTGTTTTGAGCAAAATGAAACCACTAACGTGTACAATTCCGACCCACAAATGTCTTTTCCACATTATCGCGAATGCGGATTTGAACCGCAGCTCGTTCGCAATAAACTCACAAGATAAAGGATAATATAGATATTTCCTACGCAATTATATTCTTTCTCTGAAGTCTCTCTAAAAACCAACTCAGTTCTCTTACGTCTACAAAAATTTAACCTGTCAATCAAAACTCCATATATGGATATCACGTGCACTTAATAGTTTTGTGTTCATGACTATAATTAGGTATTAATTAAATATCAATATGTTGTACAATTCTCAACACCCTCCCCCTGTTTGATTACGAAGTCAGCAAACAATAAATTGTACTACTTATCAGTTCAGTCATCTTCACTTTCAACAACGTCTTTCACTCTCAATTCTGCCGCGACTGCAGCGTCTCTTCTTGGTCTCCACACCGATGCTTCAGGATTCAAGTCACTTTGTTCACGTTCGAGTTCGATAGGTTTGTCACATGACAGTTCTAGTGGATACAAGTGTTGCACAGGACGCTCCAAATAACTTTTCCCAGCTCTCAACTTAGCTCCTCTAACGATTCCATCTTTTCCTTTGATAAACTCTTGTACTATTCCCAATTTCCATATGTTTCGGTTCTTCTCATCACCACGGATTATAACAACTTCGCCTACTTTTAGACCACAATCCTTCGATCCGTCAGTTTTGTTCACGCAATGTCGTTCCCTCAATCCACGAATGTATTCTTTCGTCCAACGCAACCACATTGCTTCCTTACATTTGGATAAATACTTCGCTCTCTTTCTCAAACTCTGATCTTCCAAGTGGTGGTGTTTCAGCTCCGGTAGTTGATTGGTTTGACTAAACAGCATCGAGTTCGGAGTTAGTATAGGTTGCTGAATATCTTCTTCAACATAGCAAAGTGGTCGTCCATTCAAGGCTACCTCAACATCGATCAATACTTCCTCTAGTTCTTCCCAAAAGAGTCCGCCCCGTCCTATCGACTTGTAAAGAGCTCGCTTGACCAACCCAACTAGGTGTTCAAACTGCCCGCCCCACCAAGGGGCGCGGCTTAGGTTGAATTGCCACTGTATATTATTCTTGGCGAGGAAATCACTGAACTTCTCGTCTTTCATGACCTTGCGTAACCAGTTAGCAGCGCCAACAAATGTACTCCCATTGTCCGAGTATACATTCGTAGGTCTGCCCCTTCTCGCGACGAATTTCTTGAAGCTCCTTATAAAAACATCCATCTACAAAGTTGGCAACAGCTCTAAGTAGACCGCTCTAGTGAGACTGCATGTGTAGAGCAGTATATATGCTTTTCGTTCCTTCTTGTTCTTTGCTCTGTACATCAGCGGGCCAGCGTAATCGACGCCAATTACCTCAAAGGGTGTTATCCCTTCTGTTCGACTTCTTGGCAACAGTCCTGGCGGAGGACTTGCCATGGCCACTGCTTGGAAGCGTTTGCATCCTGCACAACGGTTGATAAGACGCTTCACGAGTCGTCTTAGACGAGGGATCCAATGCTGTTCTCGTATCTTTGTCATTGTAAGCCCCACTCCCCCGTGTAGAGTGTTCTCGTGGGCGTGTTCGACAAGTTTCTCAGCGTAAATCGATGTGTCCGGGATATACACTGGATAATGGCCTTGCAATCGACCTCTACACTCTGGTACTCCGTCTTTATTTGTTTGTAAGTTCAGCTTCAAACGATCTTCTTCCACTCGTTCCGGATAGTTGTTCTGGACTCTCCGTACCCAGAATTGTCTCTGCTCTTCAATCTCCCGCGCTGTGATTGGTCCAACTGTTCTGCTTGTTTTGGGATTTCTTGCATTTCGAACGAATCTCATCAGGTTTTCGTAAGAAGGTCATCAAGGTCGTCTGTTTGGTGTTCGACTGCCACGTTCACGATCTGTTTTATCACCTTCGATTCCTTCTCCGACTCAACACTCGGCGCAGTAACGATGTCTTTGGGCCACTTTCCAGGATCTGACAACCAATCCGGGCCATGCCGTTGTGTAAGCGTTTTCAGTCGTCTCAGACTTCCTTGTTCATTCGATGGAAGCGGAGGGTGGTTTCCCTTCCATGGAAGATGAGTTTGGTACCAACCTTTTGGGCTGCGCTCTAGTTGTTCAAGGAACTCGGAATGTATCATACTTTGGTCACCACAAGGACTGTCTTCCAACCCGAGAACATCCATCTGCAAAGGTTTTCGTAATCGCTGGTGGTGGTCTGAGTCAAGAACATACTTTCCATGTTTACTTCTTTTCCTGTCGACATTATTGTCCATCAAAATTTGGTATGTTCGGCTACCGGCTCCCCCATAGCCCCTGCTCGTTGAGCTTCAGACGTCTTGATCTTCGTGTATTCATTCGTTCCCAGTATAAGATGAACCGGAAGTTTGCTCTTCTTATCAACATCATCCATACGAACTCCACGTAGATGGTTATACTTCTTAATCATTTCTGGATAATCAGGGTTATCTAGCGACAGCAGTTCGGACCTTTCAATTTTCGTCACGCATACCAGAATTTCGCAATCGCCCTTGAGATTGCCCACTTTGATGTCGTAGACATGGATATTCTTTGTCTCGATTCCCATGATGGTTTGAATACGTCGGTTCAGTGTGGTTTTGGGCTTTAGCTTCAATAGATCTAACAAATATGCCGATGCGTATGAGCCCGTTGCACCGGTATCCAATAGTGCTCGACATTTAGTCCCATTTGCATTGACCACTACGACTGGATGACATACTTTCTCGCCTTCGGTTGATGCTGTCATTGCTTTCTGTTCCCCGACAACTTTATCACATATCGAGGTGTGATGTTTCTGTTTACAGTTAAGACAGTTCGTTCGACTTCGGCACTGGGCTGCGCGATGATTGTTCCCAGTGCAGTTAAAACACAGAGCTTTATCTCTTAACTTCCGTTTCCGGTCTTCGATCGACACACATTCCTTACACTCGGGTGACTTATGAGACTTATCATCACAATACACACAGCCTCTTTGATGTGACCCACTTTGTTGTACGTGGAAACTCTTGCGCAATCTTGGGGGCTTAATGGGAGGTGGGGATCATTCAATGGGATAGGGTGGATATCTTTCCAGATTTGTAAAGCTTTAACTAACTCCGGGAACCCCCACGTTTGCCATTCTGTTTGCCCTCTAACTAGGTCAGCCTTGATTCCTTTCAACTTGTTTAAGACGCTCCGCACCAGTCCCCAACACACGCTTAATTTCCCCAAACTTTCCAAAGACTGTACGTTATATGCTAGTTTGTGATAAAATTCATGCACCTTTAAAGGCTGAGAACCCACAACGACTGGTAGAGCCATAATATTTTCGATATACGTATTTACGATTTCACTAACCTTCCCGTACTCTGTCTTCAAGATGTTCTTGGCTCTTTCGTAGCCTTCGGTGGTAAATTGTAAACCGTCGATACCTTGACGAACTTTGGGTTCCAAGAATTCCTTTAATTAAATACGCAAACTTTGTCACAGCTACCATGTCCGAGGAATCAATTTCCGCTTCGAATTTATTCCAGAACGGTAACCAGTTCTCAAGTGCCCCGTCAAATTTCGTAATCTCAAGTTTCGGTAATCTTACTCGCTCTGATTTCGCCGCTTTCGTTGTTGTATGTTTTATCGCTTTTTCAAGTTCGATTTTCTGCTCAAAGAGCGCTTTGTCATATCTCAGTTGGTCCTCGTATTGTTTAGCCGCGAATTCCTCTTGTTTTCGCCATTTATATTGCTCTGCTTTCGACGCCACATCATCTAAATATTCTCGCAAGCGTGTCATTTCAGTGTCGCCTTCATCGATTTTTTCTTCAATTTCACGGCCCCAAGCTTCTACGTCTTTAAGTAATTCGCCTTTCTCGAGTTTGCTCTGCTCGACCTCTCGTTTTGACTCTTCGATCGACGCTATGACCTTGCTTAAAGCATCTTTATGCCTTTCGATTTTCTCAGGAATACCCTTGTCGAGAACGCCATTTGTTTTGCTTATTGTAAGACTTAGTAGTTGTATTTTTCCTTTTAGTTTCTCTTCCATCGTTCGTTTGAGATTCTTTTATTACTATATTTCGTTCGGAGGTGCCACTATATCGCGAATGCGGATTTGAACCGCAGCTCGTTCGCAATAAACTCACAAGATAAAGGATAACATAGATATTTCCTACGCAATTATATTCTCTCTCTGAAGTCTCTCTAAAAACCAACTCAGTTCTCTTACGTCTACAAAAATTTAACCTGTCAATCAAAACTCCATATATGGATATCGCGTGCACTTAATAGTTTTGTGTTCATGACTATAATTAGGTATTAATTGAATATCAATATGTTATGTATAAATTAAATATCAATATGTATAATATTCTTTTCAAGATCCAGAAATGATTTTTCTTCTAATTTCGGATATGAAATGTAAAATGCATTAAAGAAATAAATTATCAGTTAAAAAACGGGAGTCACCGATCATTAAACGTGAAATACAAGTAAATAAATATACTACAGACACAGGGAACCCTAGCTACACTTCTGTATGCCTTTTTTGAAAACATTGATTTTAACGTTTGATTTTGAGTTTATTATAGTCCTTCTTCCAAATATGTAGACATAAATAAATAATATAACTCAGGAAATATAATGTACTATAACCATACTGGGAAAAATAAATTCAATTCAACGTAATTCTTTGCACGAATGTAACCAAAGATGTTTTGAAGTAACATAAAATTGTCATAAAATGATATTTTTAAAACTGTACGTATAATGGATGAAATTATAAGTTATAAGATGTGCGCAGTAAAAGTGCGCAATGCAAAACTGCGGAATTACCTTAATTATTCGATGATCACATTTATAAATAAACGTTTGAAGAAATCTGTACATGCATGTAATAATTGGCAGTAATGTAGTAATTGGCCAAAAGCTGCGTTGTGATTTCCACTCGCAATTTGTAATTTTATGTAATACTATTTAATTATTGTTATTTTGTTATGTAATCTTAACGTTGTAACAAAGCTTGTAAAATTAAAAAATTAAATAGTCCTGACATTCTTCTGAAGATAGTGTTGTGCAGACACTGATTTTTCAGGTCCGGCTGCGTGGTTCACAACGCAGGGAATATACAGTCTATAACCGGGTAATAAACAGTTACTATAGATGAGGTTTTTGTGTGTCAAAAGTTATGATCAAGGTTGAAGTAGGTGTTATCTCAAAAGTGGTTGATAACACTTACCGAGACCTTGATCATTCAAGATATATCACAAAAACCGAATTCAACAACTGTTTTATTATACATTGCATTTTCGTTATAATTACTCTTTCGACAAGCAATGACTGAATTTGTCGCACGAAATTAAATAGCTTTTGGTTCTCAAAAAAAGCAGTACAATAACATGAAGCATATATTAATTTCATTTACCTACTAAAGTTCCGATAAATAAAAATGGCTAAAAGATCTGCTTTTTGTACAAGAAAATTCACAACCATGTTTTTTCTTCTTTTTATTTGTGTATTTAACTGCCGCTCGCCATAAAATTACATACCTTTTATTTTTATTGTTGCTCATATTTCAGTGTGAAAACTACTTGAAGCAAGTCCAGGTAATGGTAAGTTAAGGGTTTTTTTCCAGTTACGATATTGATTTTACCACAACTTCATATTTTGTAATAATTTTAAAATTACATACCTTTTCTTTTTCATTGTTGCTCATATTTCAGTGTGAAAACGACATGAA